CAGAACCTTCAGGTCAAAATACGCCGCGAAGTGTCTAGGGCCCAGTATAAAGGGTGAATAAGTTCGCGGGACATCGGAGGGTCCTTATATACCTGCGGTACCCTCTCCCCAAAGTCATTAGCAAAATCGTCCGTTAGGTCAGGCGGGAAATTTTCGCGGGAGATTTTCGCGGGAGATTTCCGATATCGTAACACGGTATAATTTATCAATTTTCACAATTTTGTTATAAATTTATACTTCCGACAATTTGTTATAACATTGCATATAACAATTTATACGTTTTTACAATATTCTTCAATGGAAACATAGGTTTTAGCGTTCTCGTTACTTACTCGTGGTTAAATTAATTTCGTAGGGATTAAAAATCAGGTTGACCTGTGGTCGTAGATTAAAAATAGTGATAGTACAGCTAAAATTATCGTGTTAAATAATTCTTTTCCTACGAATCAAAAATGTATTCAACGTTTGTTTGTTATAATATCGTGAAATGAATTATATTACACATTTTCTCTATTCACACTGAATTTAAAGATTATAACGATTAAAAATCAAGTTGACCTGTGGTCATTTATCAAGAATAATCATAATAAAGCTGAAATTATTGTGTTAAATAATTTTTTTAATACGAATTAGGAATTTATTCAACGTTTGCTTGTTACTACTTGTTACAGTATACTGTCTCGCAATGTAAATTTAAGTAAATTAGGTTGAACTGCACAGAAAATGCACAGAACTGCACAAATAATTTATTTCATGGTATTGTAACAAGCAAACGTTGAATACATTTTTCATTCGTGTAAGAAGAATTATTTAACACGATAAATTTAGCTGTACTATGGTTATTTTTAATCTACGACCACAGGTCAACCTGATTTTTAATCCCTACGAAATTAATTTAACCACGAGTAAGTAACGAGAACGCTAAAACCTATGTTTCCATTGAAGAATATTGTAAAAACGTATAAATTGTTATATGCAATGTTATAACAAATTGTCGGAAGTATAAATTTTTAATAAAATTGTGAAAATTGATAAATTATACCGTGTTACGATATCGGAAATCTCCCGCGAAAATCTCCCGCGAAAATTTCCCGCCTGACCTAACCGACGATTTTGCTAATGACTTTGGGGAGAGGGT